TCTAGAGTAAAATATTTTTAATTTATTTGTGTAGAATTCATAATTAAATTTCCTTTTTTGAAAAAAAAACGTTGAGCGAGGAGTGGAGCTTGCTGTGGTCTAATCATAAGTATTTGTGTGAATTTCCCTATTTTGCTCATTCGTTTTCCAATTTATTCATCTGAAAGTTAGGAAAAAAGGTATTCTAACAAGATTACCACAGTTAAATTATGTTTTGTAGTAGAGTATTTATTAAGTTTTAAAGGTACAAAATAACAAATATAAACATTAAAGACATTAAGAAAGGTTTTTTCGCGGACAAGTATTTCATGTTGCGATTATTCACATTTGGCAAGAAATACACAGAAAAAGTCGTCAACAAAGGCAAACAAAGTGATAGATACAGATTAAATAAACTTATCTTGTTTAATTTAACAATCAATGAAGTTGTTATAAATATATGTTTAATACGTTAAGATAAAGAATTACTTATCTTTCTCAAGTTTCATCTGCATATAAACGTTCCAGTCAAGGTAAAATTTGGCTTCATCTGATCATAAGCCAATCCTATTGGAGGTAGCGTTCCAGGTATTTTTAGTTCACTGGGTATACCAGAAGCGTAACTCAAGCAAGTATTTGTCCGCGTTTTTACAAACGATTCGTCATCAATCACGCCATCCTGGCTAGTACAACCGGCACTTTGTACCTACCAAAACCAGTGAACTCTCTCTATATATATATATCTGGAATGATAACAGCGAGCGAAAAGTGAAGCCGACAAAAAAATCACGACATAAGTATTCGTCATTGTCTTCGTCATCAACTGTTCAAGAACAATCACTTACATATAAAATTTGTAATTGTTTTGAAAGTTTTTATCACAACGCTAAAACTGTAAGAGTTGTGAAGTTGTGACGGAACTTGTCGACTGCCTTCGGAAACTGTCGTTGATGGCATGAGGCAATGATATTAAAAAGCCAGTTGTCACAGAAAAGGTATCTTACAACTATTAAACGACTTTAATACTGGAAGATGCATCACTCAGCAAAATTACAGTTGGCAACGCTGGGAGAAATACTCGAATGAATTTTTCACAGCAAACGGTAAGTTAATTTTTGTTATTTCAATCGACATTTTATTTATGTTTACAATTTGTGAATCTGTCATTTCATATTATATTATTAAAACATTGTCATTGCTATCGTGTTGCTATTCATGTCTGCTCTGGACTCTGCTTCTGGTCAAGGAGATTTTGATCACGCTTCATATAAAGCTTTATATAGTGAGTTTATAATCCTGTTTATAATCAAACGTTCTTGCACAGATCTTGAATTTTAATATACCACATTATGTGGGTAATAGTTGGCATAGCCCATTGTTGGCATATTTTACAACAATACTACAACTGCCCTGTCCACTTGCAGCTATAAAACTTTAACTACACTTAACACAGAAAACAGGCTGGACTATTTTATATTAATATAGTCTAGTAGTTACTAGCGTGGAAGCTCAGTCTGTTTACATACAGTTGAAGGATCTTCTAGCTAGATGGAAGTAATTGAGTGAAAATGTATTATTTTACATTTATTAGATCTATTAAACTAGGAGATGCAACTGTAGGTGCAGTTTATTTTTGGATATCTAGTCCAGATGTAAATAATATGTATTATTATATCTGATCTAAGATCAGCAGGGGCGTAGAGACAGGGGAGTGTGTGTGTGTGTGGGGGGGAGGGGGGCAAACTCCACAACTGTGAAACTCAGGTAAAGCTCAAATACTTGTAAATTTTTACATTCTCAGGTAAACTTTGTGTAAAAGTCGTTATTTTTGTAAAATGATGACCATTTGACATCCGACACCCCCCCAAACTTCAGATGCTTTGCTACGTCCCTGAAAATTAGTGCAATCACAATAAAACACTGACCGTTGCAGTTGCGAGAGTATATATGAAGAAAACCCACAGTCATAATGTGATGAGGTCGACAAGTTTCAACATTTCTTTTCAGCACTTAATAACAGCAGTGTCAATTGAGTAGCATGTTCATACTTTTATTGCCACAGTTAAATGTGTTGTTTAACCTAATGAGCTGCAATGCACCCCAGGCCCCCAGTGCACCCTACTTATTTCTTTTACTTGTCTAATGCCAGACGATTTTACCCGTCAATGGGGAAGCTCTGCCGCTTAATGGGTTAAATTTATACTTGCATCATTTACAATGTATCAGTCTTGTGAGCTGCCAGTAAATATTTGGTTCTTAATTTTAAACAATTTGCAGATAAAAGCACAATTCAAAATCATAGTGATGATGCATGGCATCTACAGTACTTCAAACAACTAAGTGAACACATATTCTGGTCAATTTGCTGATAATATGGTGACTAGTGATAATATTGGATAATATAGGAAGATCAGAATATTTGCACAAGTGTCAGGGCAATACAAGTTAGTGGTGATGACAAAATTGATTTGATGAGTTCATTATAAATTCCGATGCTGTTAGATCTTACAATAAATAAAAATGTTTAGAAATCTAGTATTAAATATATTATGTTAATGAAGAACTTTGAATTTAAAGGTTTTATGAAATCTGCGATGCTAGCAATTCAAGAAAGCTAATAACTTGTAAACCAGACAACAGAATATATCTGTAACAAGAAACCGATGTAATGAAATCTTAGTGAATTACATATTAGTGCAGTTTTGAAAAACAATAAAATTGACATTATTAGTTGCTGCATGTATATACTTATTATTGAAGCAAAACCGAATGTTGCTTTTAAATCAAGTGATTGTAGCCATTTGTTGGCATTGTAAGAAAGATGCTGCATCTGTTTTATTTTGACCATTCTTCTATAATTGTAATGATTAATTTTGTATCAAAATGAATGTTTGTGATGAATGTTCATTAATGTGAATTCCGGCTGTATTCGACCAGGCTGAATAGGCTAGCCACATGTACGCAGTGCGTACCTATTTTTATATCTTTATTCACTTTTAACCTGAAGATGGAGTTATACTCCGAAACGTAGTTATTAAAATAATTTTTTACTAAGCCCATATGGTCTAATTTATATTCAAACACACGTACATATTCATTTACATTTTGCTGGCAGGCAAATTCCGATCACACAATAAATTCTTTAAAAAATAACGTACCAGTGTATTGACTAAAAACTATAAAACTGGTAAACTAAAAACAATTCAAACAATCGCGAAAAATGGCAACGGCAAAGTCACAGTTGCAAGTCAATTTACCTACCTGTGAAATGAAATTTTCTCGCAAGAATATCTCTTTCCTTGTGCATCCAGAACGACACAATATATTTGAAAAAGTGATTCTTTTCTCCACACGGGGAAGTTTTCCTCGACTTTTTTCCGACAGGGAACTCAATGCAGTAAATTTTAGGAGCAAAACAGTTTGCTCCTAAAATGTATTGCATTGAGTTGGCCATGTTTTTAATTTTTTTTTCGTGATTGCGTTCAAATTTATACTGGCCACTGGCCGTGCAACGGTTTGCAAGAGGGGGAATGAAACTGACGTCCAATCCGCGTAAACCTGACGTTTGAGGGACTGAGACTGACGTCCAATCCGCGTGAAAGACTGGTATCGAGGCTTCATTGTTTTCACAATCAAATGACTGAATGTTATCGTTCCAGATATATATATATATATATATATATATATATATATATATATATATATATATATATATATATATATATATATATATATATATATATATATATATACATATATATATATATATATACATATATATATGTATATATATATATATGTATATATGTGTATATGTGTATGTGTATGTATATATGTGGATGTATATATGTATATGTATATGTATATGTATATATATATATATATATAGTTCTCCGAGAGTAATATCACATACGTACCCTTTTCTAGATATATGCAAAATTAAAAGCAAATATTAACATACGATAGCATTCCTCCACTCGTGAGCTCATTTACCGAAACAAATGTCCAGGCCTTGTGACCCTGGATGGGCACTTAAAGGAAGGAATACACACACACATTCGTACGATTATTTAAGGTGACGCCACATGAAATGTTACCTGTTATGTTTCAATTATCCAACAATATGTCTCAACGCAACTCATCTCCTTGTCGCCATATTGTTCAAACAATATCAGGAAATACGTAAATGAATAAGTCAAATACTT